ATTGAAATAAAAAAAAGTCTGGATAATGAATAAAAATATATAATAGAGTGACTCCAAACTTTACACACTTTTTTCATCATCAATTTAAACAAGATACGCTAAAATTTCTACATGGCAGATTGGACCCCCTCTCCCCCTCCCGAAGCAGACATTTCGTTGACGGAGAAAATTTTCGCTATTTAAAAGTTTCACATATATTTATATATTTATAAAAAACAACGTAAACATTTCGGTGGATATAGTATGTAGTCGACTGTTTTTTACGAGGCGGATTGCGATGTAGTTTGTACGGGTGAGCTTAAACATAATTAATCTATGTAGATTAACCTAACTTAACCTAACCATGAGCTTATGCATATCCCGCGAACTCACGACTAAGTACTTACATAATATTTAATCCTAATTTATAACTTATGATATTATAAGCGTGCAAAGCGTAATAAACATATTATGATAATGTACGAGCGCAGTACGACACATTATTATTATTATAAACACGAACGACATTTTTGCCGCGGAGTTGTACATAAATTGCGTCTCTCCATCGTGTGCACGAGTGTTACAAATCCCGCACTGCACGTCATATTATTATTATCCTATTATAATATATAGGTAGATATATATACATATATAGGTACTCGGGCGTAAGTGCGACGAGAATAGGGCGATGTCCTCCCGGGGACTCGCGTAAAGTCCCGTACATTATATTATTATTGTCGTTTTCGTCGTTGTAGTTGGCGATGGCGAATGAGAGAGTGTGCGGCGGAGGTCGTATTTACTAGAGCGCAACCGGGAGTTGAGTGAGAATACGTATATAGCGCGCGAAGAAACGCGACACCGGACGACGAAAAACTATACGAGCAAGACGAGCACGGCAACTACTAATATGCCGCTCTCGCGCGACACACTGTGCGCTTTGCAGTACATGTATTTATTATTATTATTATTATTATTATTGTATTCTTTGCGTGTATGTGGTGGCGGCAGGCGGAGTGACGGGCTAATGACGCAGGGGAAGCGTTTCCAATCGAATTAACGTCAACTCCGCCAATCACACATATATATATATACAACCCCCCCACGAGAGTGAAAACCACGACGACTCCTCCTCACCTACCTATCTCGCACACCCTTCCATGTTATTATTATTGTCATAACGCCCCTGCGGTTTACGCGACAATAATAATATTACTGTACGATTTACTTAACATCAACCGGCACTGTAAATACGTACATGGAGAATAATCGAATAATTATTATCGTTGTTGTGTCAATGCGCGCATATTATATATATATATATATTAATTGTATATTAACGTTGCCGCACATATTATTACACAATGAAACCTCTCCTATAACGGACACCCTCAAACAGTGGACAAAATTTCACCGACCGAAAGTTTCCCGTGGTATTTAGAGCCCGCGAAGACGCTTAAAAAATACTTGCGACGCGAGGCAGGTGCCTGCAGCTTAAATTCTCTCCTTAAAATCTAGTCCTTACGCGAATAATTTGCACTCGAGTTAAACGGCGAGGTACCATTATGTAACACGTACGTACTTAAATTATCACTAGTTCAAAATATTTTATTATTCACGCGTGTATATGGAATAAAATATAAAGTCATCCACGTGTACGACATAAAAGTACTGTCTAAATTATTAGCTGGTATACACAGATCCAGGTATATGCGCGATCAGAGCATACGATTATGATGTGATATATTATTTTTACAGCCATATAAAACAATTATTTTGTTTAACTTGAATATTCATCTTTGATGCAGGGCCACCATTTGTCAAATTGGCAATATTTACGTAATAGTGTATTATGCAGCTTATCACAGACAGAGCGATACTGCAATTAATGCAGCTCATATTCAAAAACCTGTATATTATCGAATATCGATCATGATTTACTATCGAAATAAAAGTTATCGTGGTATTTTATAAAAACATAAAAACATTGCCAATGTAACAAATGGTTGCCGTGCTTCAGAGCTGCAGTTTATGTTATAATATGCATAGGACTATTATAGTCAGCTATCTAGTTCTTTTATTTATCACAATGTCTGTTAATTGTGATTAACTTATATAATAATAATTAGAGGAATATTCGATTATGCTAAATCCAAGTAGTAGGTAATAAGTCACCTAGTAGGAATCAGACGTGTAAATTATTGTTATCGTAGCAATTATTAATCTATATAGTTATTGATTGCGTATTATAATCGTTATACACATTGTTATAATTTAATCTTTTTTGATTGCCGCTAATATATTTTGTCTGGAAAAAATTAAAAACGGTCGATTTTAATATCGGTATCGCTTTAAAAATAAATGTTCGTGATTATCTGACGGCTCTCGACGGTCGGAAATTAACGTAATATAGTCAGCGATGTAATATCATTACATTACATTTTATTATTGTTAGGCAACATAACACAATCACGGTGATGCAGTTACCACGCTTATATCGTAGTTATCATCTCATCGCACATTACAATAGCGCACCAAACGTGTAACAAACCAATAAATTTACATATTGCACATAATGTCATTTAAAATTATGACACAATGGTTACTATAATCGAGAGGAATTCGAGGGCAAGGGCGAATCGTTTATTAATAATATTACATAGTATTGCCAAATACGTCATAAGATGATATACACTTAACTATAGGTTGTGGTTCATCGCACTCGTCTATCATCCGCGAAACATATATATTATAACAATTAATTACAATATATAAATATGACTTTCGTAAGACTTTTCTGTTTATAGTTGTGTATGAACTACTGGAATAAGTGGTAAGTGCGTACATTAAATCTGTGTTGACACTCTAGGGCAGACATTAGCTATGGTTTTTTTTTTTTTAATTCTCAAAACACACAAATTAGTTTTTATGTAAAATTTAATTGCCTGGATTTCTAAAATTAAACATTTTTTCATCAAGCACAGTCACATTACTAATGCGGTTTTTTTTTTTCATCGATTCAAAAATATTTTTTTTGGAAATTCTACAGCCCAACTGCAAGTACTATTTCGTCCTTTATCGTGTTCTTTAATTTGTTGTCAAAAACTCGAAACAAATCTTCAGAAAACTATCATATGTTTTCTCATTTGAGTATAAAATACACCTTAAAATTACATCCAAACAGTAAAATACAGTAATATGAAACAATATTGGTTATTAGTCCGTCGTGACTATCAAATCTTCCGTGTTGGATACATGATAATATTGATAATGTATAATGTATTATTTGTATAAAGCTCAAGAGTATAAAATGTATACCTAAACTATGTATAGAGGTATCAACCGATAATTTTATGTGTTAATGCAATTAACTCTGCAGTGTTTAACGTCGACTATCAGTCGAAACGAAAAATAAACATTATCTCAAGCCTATACCTAATAGAATAATGTTTAGCAAAAACAGAATGCGTAGGTAATCAACAATAACATTAATATATTAAAGTGCTAGACGCTGAATACTATTATTGTATATTGTATATAGTATATACGTACATTGACGTTTTACTAATAATTATTAGCAGCTGCACAGTTCGAATCTGTGATACCATATATAATAGATGGACTGCTCGACTGGGCTAAAAATATATCAAGACAAATGTTTACCTCTAAACGGTTTTTTTTATAATTCTACGTTGCACAAACCGTACGATTTAATTTTCATTATTTTCTCATAAACGCTTACATCGCAGACGGTCTAACGATCGCACAAATCGTTAAAAATACGAAAAAAAAAAACAAACAAACATAGTATTATAATATTTATAGTAATATCTTAGTAGTTAGTACCTATACTAATTAGCCGCATACAAACGCATAACGCAGACGTGCATTGTCCGTCATTACCACCTATAGAATATTTAAGAACTGCATGAACATTATTAATGAATGGTTCAGTTTTGAGTCCACGAATAAAAACTGGTATCCATGTATTTTTTTTTCAAATTTTTCCACACTCTATAATATGGCCAACAATATTATTATATCGATAATGAATATACAATATACACTCTAGCATGTACGTTGCTCACGTTATAATGGCCGGTTATTGCGTGCACATACGAAATAATATACCCGATACCTGCGCGTGTGTACTGTATATAGTTATGAGAAGACAATACCGTCTTGTACTTGCTCCCAGTTGGTGTATTCAACACATAATATCACATATATATCGGTCGATAACCGCGACTACAAAATTTCGCGAGTATTTTTTTAATTCATTACATAATAATATATATTAAACACTATGTTTGACCATTTTCAAATTCACTACCAAATATAATGTTGGATTATAATAAAAATATTTAAATATATCAATATGAGGGCATCTTAGACGATTTCGTTTTAGAATTTTTTTTTTTTTTTTGTAGCATCTAGATTGGATATATTACAAAATGTGTTTATTTTGGTTGCAATATATTATTATATTATATATGTATATATAATACATAATATTAACTATTAAATTAATAGTTTAGTTTCTTTATTCAATTTTTCGACATATTTATTTATAGTTATTTCATTGTGAAACTAACAGACCTGTAAATAGCTACATACATGTAATATTATATCAAAACATTTAAAGTAAAAAAAATGAATTGTAAATTATAATATAAGTAATGAAAATACAATTATATGCTATTTTGAAAAAAAAACACAAACTCTTGTGAACGAGTTTCTTGATAAGTTCACACTTTACATATATATATTATTATAAATATTACTATTCAGCGTTATGGTTTTTGTATATATATTTCAATGTGCACATTTTGCGATGTTAAAAATTATATTCCTCCTTCTATCAATCAGTCAATAAATAAGCATCCAAAAAATATTGCAACATAACTTAACATTTATTTTATAATAATTGTTTAACATACATCTTACAAAGTTACATGTATACCACATTACCACGTTTAATTAGCGTCATATTAATATTGTGTTTATTTTTCTTCTTATTGCAGTATGTCCGGTAGTCGGAGTCCCACGGGAATGGGTGACGGATGTGAGAAGATGGTTGGTGGCCCGCCGTCCAACTTAGACTCCAGTTCGTCCGAATCTATCGACGGCGACAACATGAAGTCGCACATACATATGCTGCACAAGCCCAGCGCAATATCGTTCGGGCACTCGATGATCACAAGCCAGGTAAAATCACAAACATAATTATAACAATATATAATATACTATATAGTATCATATTAAATTTAATAAATAATAACAATTATTATTACATAAATATTACACTTTGTCGTCGTGTTATACATAATATAATAATATATTGTGCAGTAGGTAGTCAGCCAGAAAAAAATACCTCGGAAATAAAAACCAATTATTGGCAATAGAACTTGTTATATCGTACCATATTACAATAATTTATAAATTCAATATTTAGTTTGTTTTATCAATATCCAAACACTAAAATACCTACTGAAATAGTGAATATGCATTTCAAATTTCAATAAATTACATTTTTTTACTTAATTATTGATAAAAATTGTGACATTTTGAATCGTTCGAGTTAACTTAAAACAATTCAATTAATTTTTTATTTTATATTTTTAAATATCTACATTATTTATACACATATTTATTATCTACAGACTATAAGTTGTTTATTTAAAAGATAAAAAAAAAAAAATAAGATAGAAGTTTTCTAAAAAAAAAAAATGTTTTTAATTAGAATCTTAATTTATTAGGTAATTTGTTCAACTGTTTTAAACTCTAATAAATCGTCAACTAAAATCAATCATTCAAAGAATTTTCAGATATTTTTCTAGACAAACTTTCTATGAGTTTTTTCCTTAAGCTATTTAGTTCAATTTGTTTCCTGTAATTCACTATAATATTATATTGCAGTGCGTAATTACTTTTCATACATTTTTCAAATGTTTAAAAATATTTTAGCTGTCTATGGAAAATTTTGAATCGTCGTTGTAATGGTCACGATAAAAAATAAAACTCTCATTCACGCGTTTAATGTTTATATTATAGTATATTATTATTTCGCAGTATAAATTTTGTTATGTTAATGATCGCTATGTAAATATTGAAAATGACACAACACCAGCCGTGCCGTGTCGGATCGGCGTAAAAATAAAATATGTTTAAAACAATAATGCGATGACGCTACTGCCGATGATAAAATAAAAAGAAAAAAATCGTGACCGGAAACCGATGTGTTGGACGCTGCACAGCTGTTTCCTTTTTGGCAAATACTGATCAGTTTGAACGATTGCCAATTATACACAAGTCTGCCGCGTGTGTCCTACAATACAACACTAGCGCGGGCAATACGATAATAATGATGATGGTGATAACGATGATAATAATTATTGTAACGATAATATACATAATAATATTGAATTTTATTCGACAGCAAACAATCAAAACGCTGCGCAGTGTATGATTCTATAGTAATAATATAATAGTTGGCCGAGTGTACGTTTCCGGAGCAGCCGACGCGAATCGTACATAATATAGTTTCACGATCGCAATCTATTTGTGCGCGCTTAAACCGTACAACTGTTATAATAGAAACCAAATGAGAAAACAAGTTTCCGAAGAAAATTATGCTTCCATATAATTGCGATAACTATGCACATGAAGTCCGAATACAAACGTTTTACGGTTGTTATTTCACATAATGTATAATTATTATTATAATTCATAGATATCGAGTTTTGCAAAAAACAAACTTATACCCATTTGATCAAATATAATTTAATTCCGCAACTACTCACGCATATAAATATCTTACGCGTCGATTATATGAAATCAATCTAAAGTACATCAGTTCTTTCTCATAATTACCACTAAATTTTCAATGTAACCTGGCATGATTTTTCTAAACTATGCAAAAGTGGGCATTATTTAATTAAAGAATGAACTTATTCAAATTTTTAACTTAACTGGTTAATTAGTCAATATCTAAATAACTCAATGACATAAACAATTTCATGGTCGGTTGAAATAACTTTATATTTTATTTTAAAATTTAAAACGATTTATGAAGTTAAAATCAACAATTTTCTTGACATTTTTGGTTTTAATTGTTTTGTACATTGAATGTCCCTATGTACTCGTATATGATTTTTAATAAAAATAATCTATTAAATTATATTAAAAGTAATAATATCAAAATTATATATATTATATTTCTTGATAAAATAATATTACATCAAAAAAATAAATAAAAAATAGGTCTTTATATGATCTACGTACTAATTAAAAAAGTAGATTAAATTTTTTTTAATAAAATTAAGTTAATATTTATTTTCTTTTTTTAAATTTAAATTTAGTGAGAATTAAATTTATTATTTGTTAATTATTAACTTTTAACTTAATGATCTTGAGTTCACTATCATAACTTGAGTTAATTATTTTCATTAGTTGCCCAATATCGTATGACTATATCATTGTTGGATTTAAGTAGGTATTATTGCAACTTGCATTTAATTTATACAGATAATTATATTTTATACACATGTCGATCGCTTAGTTCTATATTTAAAATTAATTAAACATTTAAATGCATCCCTGCTGGAAAGTATGCGTGTATAAAATCAAGCCAAAAATTTAGTACATTTATCTGTCGTCTAGCGTAATCATTATTAAAGGTCAATTCGATTTCGAAAGAGTTTTGCTATAAATGTGCTACAGGCTATATAAATGTATATAATATTATTATTATGGGTAAGTACCGTCGTTGTAGGAAATATATCTTTGGCTTTCATTCAGCATTACTCCCCAAACAAATAACTCACTTGTTAAATTTTTTCCGGAATAGGTACCACATTACATTATTGTAGTAGTGGCTGCCAACTTATTTTAGTCTTAGTTGAAATACTTTTCAATAAATAGTAATTATTATACAATATATCTGAACAAAATTATGATAAAATATTTTATATTTTTTTATAAATTACTACTTGAAATGATAAAATAAATTATTCTAATAGTAATTCAAAAATTATGTTTTTAATAGATTTTCTTAAATAATAATTTCAGAGTCAAATATAAATTTTTCTTATTATATATTTTTAATTTGAACATCCAATCATCATAACAATTATCAAATCAAAAAATTATAATACACATAGATAATTGATACCTTTTTTTTTTTTTTTCATTGAAAATCACTACATGAGGGCCGAACTGTTTTCACATTGCTTAACCCTCATTCAGCATCGTTTATTGAATTAAAACAATATATACGACTTTGAGTATAGATAATTGATACCTAATCAATGACAAAATAACTTAAAATAATTATAATAATAAAATATTCAAATGTTAATGTTAAACCAAAATAATAGTTTTATTTGTATATATTTTGTATTGCATTATGTTTGCTAATTATAATATTATTAGTTGTTAATTTTAATAATTAACGAGTGTTAAGGATATTTTTTTGTATTTTTAAATCCTTAAATAATTGTTTAATCAAATTTTTGTAGCTATTGATGAATATTGATAATTAGATTAAATAATTTATTCTTAAATTAAAGTAAAATAAATATACGTTGTAAAATATAGAAAATGCTTTGGTGTTAGGTATTTGTTCTAGATGATAATATTAGTCTGATATTAAATAGTAATTACAGCATCAATTTTTATTATATAAGCATTTAAAAACTTAAAAAATATAGCCTATAAAAATTTTAATTGAGCTAAATGTAATAAATCACCTGGCTTGAAATAACAAAATTTAGTATTCAAAGCCGAAGTTCCTCCACTAGGGGTGTCTTCATTCTGTGAAATATATATTTTTCTTTCTCTCATTCTATCCACTAATTTTTCTACTTCTTCGAACACATTGAGTAATAAAAAATATTTTAAATTAAAATTAAAAAGGTTATTAAAGGTATTTTTACGATAAACTTTCGAGGACAACACACGTAATATACGGCTCAAAAAAGTTTGCGAGTTGCAAGTGGCACAGCCAACGGGTATGCTTAGTAGGCCCGGGACTACCAATGTTTTGTTTAAAAATAACTGTTTCAAGCTTTTATACATATTAATCAACGTTTGCACAAAGCTCAACATAGCCGGAAATTATTCATGTTTACGACATTTTGGCATACGAATATTTAATATTGATACAATACCATAATATTATAATCATTACTATCTTTCTAATGCATAATATTCATAGCGTGCAGAAACGCGCGAATTACCTTGGCAGTTATTAACATCTTAGTAGTCTGCCATTTTATTTTACTATCATTCAGTTGAGAACTTAAATCTGTTTTATAGATTTTCATGATCAGGTCACAAATTTAAAAAAAAGAAAATATGAAATTTTATCGAATCCAGATTTCTTAATTCTGCAAAATATAAATTAGCATGTTTAGTAAGGCCCTTTAAATAAAATAATATTTTTATATTCATTATAATTTATAATATATTAATTTTTAAGTACTTTGAAGTATTTTCTTAAATATTTTACAAATAAATTCATTTCTCGTTGTGTGTTATTTATTTCTTATTTTTATATTTGCCTATAGTTTACAGACATATTGATAATTTTATTCTATAGCATTGATATTATTATGTTCAATTCGTCGTGATTCATATTAAAAAACGCCGCAGTAAATAAATAAAAATTGGTTTTAACTTTTAAATGGTTTTTAATCTCATCTTATTTGTTATTATACAATATATTATTTTAGTGAATATTTTTTCTCGTTCGTTCATTCGCTTTTTTATTCAGTACTTTTCTTTTTTCTATATGATTTAAATATGAAAAATTAAAGTTGAATAAAAACTTTTTTGTTAAATACTTTATGATTTTTATTACATATTTTGATAAAAATACAAAACAAATATTTAAACATTTTAACTTATTCGAAACATAAAAATATTTAGCCTATTTACGATTTAAAAAATAAAAATGTGTAGATACCCGTATGGCTATTATCATCGTAAACGTTACTGATCGAATCGTAGCATCGGCCCAAGTGTAAGTGATTTGGGAAAGACTCTTTTAAATTTCTTTGGTTTTAGCTACTTAAGATTTTTTGAAAAATGTTGATAAATCTTAAATTTTTGCCGTACCCAAGCTATTTTTCTACTACACCATTTCATATTGTATTTCATATAATAACTAAAAAGTGAGTGACTAAATGTTGGTGATAAGTTAATTAAATAAGTTAAACTTAATTGAATTTAAAATCTTCTAGTGAAGTCTTCTAAGTCTCCGAATACAAGTTAGTCACAAAGTTTTTAAGATACAATAAAAACTTATAAATATAAAATATAAATCACTCATTATGATTCAAAAATACATGAAACGTATAAATGATTTATAGAATAAGCATCGCGTAGCTATTAGCTTATCTTCGGATAACAGTGCAAAGTGCATTGAATTCTCTACAATCTTAGTTATATAACTAAAAAGTAAAAACAAACAATATATTATCTTTTTCAACACTTAACGGTTGATCAACCGGCAGAATATAATAAAAATAAAACAAAAATAATGTAATCAACTTAATTTTTTTTTTCATTACTTTTGAATTATGATTTTTCACATTCCAATAATATAATTTTTAACAATAAACACAATTATTGAATTCACAATATTAGGTATTATTATTTAATATTATATTATCTGACGATTTCAACCATGGTTATTGCGTGTTTCAGGACCATTTGTCCAGTCACGAGATGATGTTCGGAGGCGGAGGCGACCTCAAGTCGTCGATGTCCGGCGTCGGGGGCGTCGGCGCGGGCGGCATGTCCATGATGGCAAACTCGGCGGCAGCGGCCGCGGCGTACCACCACCAGACGCAGTTGATCGGCGGCGGCGTAGGAGGCGGCGGCGGCGGCATCGTCGGCGGGTTCGGTTCGCCCATCGGTAGTCGCCCGTTGATCGCCACCGGTGTCGGCGGCGTCGGCGTCGGCAACGGCGACCACCACAGTCACTTGCAGCAGATCGCCGCCGGCCATCCCGCCGATCCTTCGCTACTGCACGACTACCATTCCTTATGACAGTGGGTGTCTGGCTACAACGGTGGCCAGCAATGATGTCGTTTATCGTCATTGTGCACACATATACACACACACACACACACGACAGAGACGCACTCGCACCCGCAAGCCGCTCGCACCCACACAGCACCCACACGCGCATCGCCCTACGACGACTTGACAAGAACGCACACCACTCGGCGGGACGACGCGTAATGTATAGGGTTTCGCGCGAAACCCACCCGTGCGGGTGGGGGGGATGAATAGATCCGATTCGATTCGCACGGTGGCGCAAGCGAGTTAACACTTTTCGTTTGCACGTGATTAATTTATGATAATATACGATGTACAACGTTATTATACTATTATCGTTTCTCGACCGATGACGATGGGGAAAAAAGAAAAACCGTCAACCACATACCCGACTGCAAGCCGCACAGTGCGATCGATTGTCGTCGGGATCAAAACGCCTTCGGCACAAGCGACGCACTCGATACGACATACATTTTATATTACACATAAGTAACGTTAAAATAATATTATTTGTACGACGCGAAGTACACGAATAGTATACGCATATGTATTATGTGTGATGTGGGTCGGGGTATCGCCCGACTTCAGTGCACACAACTATGATGTACAGTAATAAAAAAAAAAGTTATAATTAATAGAATATATTATGCGAATCCCCCCCCCCCCCCCCCGAAAACGACTTTCTGCCCCTCTATATCACTGGCCGTCCCTGACTGCACATTACTCCGCGCGAATCGTCGCGAGCTGTTCCACTCTAGCCGAAAATAATATTACGTTATTGCATCTATTCTGCAGCGCGTGCAGACGATGGATGTCAAAATATAACCCACACGTAGGTATATTACTGGATTAAAAAGATTTACTCACAAACTACCGCTAATCGCGTAGTTAATTGATTATTTCCCAGTAGTGTGAGGTAACGACGGTCCCTATAATTGAACTTATAGATTTATAATAATTGTGGTTTGCGTGAAAAACTGATTGATTTAATGGTTCAATAAAATTTAATAGACCAATCACGAGGGGACTATTAGCTCAATAATAATTCATTAAATGTATGGTGATTGTTCACATTTAATCCAACCATTAAATCAGCCGGTTTTCCACGCAACTCGATGTTGTTGTTAATATAATATACAACGACATAGGTATGTCGATCTGTGTTATGCCCATAACAGCCCCAGTTTACAAATATTATTTGTTCACTCCCGAAAGTCCACTCCTGCCCTGCAGATCGGAGGTGTACCTACTACGCCGTGTAAATGTATTATGTTATATTATATTCAATTAAAATGCGACCCATTTACGCTTTGTTTTGTAAATATTATTATTATATATTTGCTACCCATTAAATATTTTTAATTATCAAATGCAGGGTAGAACAGAAATACCTGACAGATGTCAGTATTAACTAACAATTTAATAATTGTTATTTTAGTATATATTTTTTTTTATTCAATTACTATAATTAAAGCCAATTTTATATATATAAAAAAAAAAAAATGTTTACATATAATATAAATAAAAGTTATTTCGTAGTTAATTAAAATTAAATTTGTCAGTTATTTCTGTTACGCCTTGTAGTACATGCCTAGTATTCATAGTCACTATTCGTTGTTAATATAGTAATAATTTACGATTATATTGTTATAGTCCACATATTATCTTGTTCGGCTACATTTACAATATGTGTATTAGATTCGCATAAAAAGCAATTTATATTTGTATGCCTATCAAAAAAAACTTTTTGAGTCAATTTTTCGATATGTATTATATAAATTCTAATTTGTACATCATTTTTCAAAAAATATGTAAACCTATATTCAAGCTTCATAATTTATTATGTTCGGCTATTGAATATCGCATTTTTTTTTTAATGAACCCCATTATAATCCACGAGTTGATTGTATTTTCGTCTATTTTATTACTTCTTTATAACTACAGACACTAAATTCTTAATTTTGAACATAAATTTTCATAACAAACCGTATTATTTAGATATTAATAATATTGTTGTAGATGCTATTTATTATTTTTAATTATCATAATGTGCACACTAAACTTTAGAAAAAATGATATGGCAAACGGGATAAAATTGTTTAAACGGTTCTATGTAATCTGAAGAGATGACAAGAAAAATACTGTTTTATACAAGTAATTGTATATGTACATATTATGTATAATAATAATAATAATTTGTTTACCAAACTATTATTTTTTTTTTTTTCATTATGAGTTTCCGAAACCAATAATTGTAGAGATCAAGACATTTAGAAAAGAAAGTTATTAAATCAAACGATATTTGTTCGTCGCGTTTAAAAACAAAAAGTATCCGATGTGGTAAGCTATAATCCGTTACAGCAGTCTCGTTTATCAGGATTTGCCTAAAATTACTAAAGTAAATCGGGTGTATTAAAATAATAACACTAATAAAAAACCGTCTTTTCAACTTTTCGTATACAGTGTCATCGTCGTGACCGTTCCGTCTAGACTAGATCGAACGCGGTAAACTGGTTATTCCATACTGTAATTTTGTCAATGAGATTTAAAACTATTCAAAAATGGCATTAAAAAAACCAGTACCGGAACGTTACAAGCAAAAGATTTAATAATACATAAATAAATGGCATATTTTCACTGTCGTTTAGTATTGTTCTACGCAGCTGTCATAATTTGTATTTCTACGTTTCATTTTTTTTTCAGTCCGTAAAATCCTTGGTGACAATTAGCGCGCAGGATATTCGGTGTCATATATTACGGCAAACATGTTTACAGAAACACAACCTCTCAAGGACATCCACACGTTTTCTATAACAGTGTACTGAATAATATTAATACATATATTATTGGTGTGTAGTAGGTACACCGTACTGAAATTAATAATTTTTAATCACTTATCGACTTGTCACTCTCCTCGGCTTACTTCTACGATCTCATATTATATTTATTTCAATTAAAACGACTATATTTTAAATACGCTGGCACATAATTTCTTATCCGACGTTTCGTGCAAAATACAAGAATTTTATTTGAGTATCGCACATTAAACGGGGAAGTCTCCGAACTCACGAGCACGTCCACTGCAGAAAATATTTTAAAATTATGATTTGAAATAATAACATTTTTATACAGTAGTTAAATTAACTAAAAAATTAAGTATATTATACGATTGCGTGATGCATATAATATAAAAAGATTGGGGATGTGGTTTTCTTTTTTCTCGTTGTTCGTTTGCCAAATACAAAACAAATATTCCTAATAAATTATAATATTTATCATATAATAGCCGTCGCGAGTTAACTTCTTAAAACTTAATTGTACAAATTAAAAGTCATGAGGAGTGAAATTATTTGCTCCAAGAAATATAAAATAAGTGACACACAATAACTTTTTATTAGTACTTACCAACAAATATTTTATTTTTCGTTTTGTCTTAAATTATAAAGTACCTAATAATTTCAGCAAAAATCTATTACTGCGATAAATTAATTTAAAACTTCTAAATTAATAGTTAAATACAGCAATAAAATAAATAACAATAGTATTAAATCAAATCTAACTCTCCCCACGAAGTCCTAACTCCTAAGTGAGAATATAAAATTATGTGTATATACGCTCTCGTTTGATAATGACCAAACCGGACATTTTACACATTATTTGCCATTATAGCTGTTGCGACCTATCCTTATACTTATGAATAAGGCTATAATATATTATTCGATCTACTCGAAACACAACTGTAGATTTAACACAAATATGACATATGTGGCTAATATAAACTTGTGTATATATACCTACAACGAAGATCAGCGCTGATCTGAGTGACGTAGGTATAATATTATAGATAATCCGCGACGTGACATTTTAAAACATATATTTACTTAAACTGCAGTTCTACAGTTCCTATATATACAATATTATATTCACATATTATGTTTTATAACTTATATAAATATATTATATAATATAACAAAGAAAAAAAAAATAATAATAATAATGAAAACAAAAACAAAAAAATACCTACTTTTACACTCAAAATGAACAATATAATATTATTATAATTTCAACGCACACGAAAATCTTTCGACATTTTCTTCTAATCTTTGTATAATAATATATCATAATTTGTATTACACGCTTGTATAATAATGTAATAACGTTCTTTGTCGACATAAATTTCGGAAAATTATTATTATCATTATTTTATACGTTTATAACGCGTATGTACTATTATTAAATATATATTATTTCTATACGTCTGTGATTCTATATATTTTTTTAAGTTATTAAAACGTTCGCTATCTGTATTATATTATTATTAATTATTACTTAATTGTATATTATTATTATTATTATTATTATTATTATTTTGAAAAATTATAGTTGCTGATTACGTACCACATTGTAGATGATAAAATTATATCTTTATAATATATTATTATTTTATCGTATATATACTTTGTAAATAGTATTAGCTAAAACCAAAGTGTTATGTGGTAGAACATCACTATTTTCTATAAATATTATTATTATTATTATTATTGTGACAGTAATCTCTTGATTGTAAATGTATAAAATGGTGTTTTAATATTTATTATGTTGATTTTAAAAATAAAAAAGAAATTAAAGAAACAAAACATATTACATTTTACGGATTTTCATTAACATCATCACATTATTCTCCTATGCGTGTATTTACCATACACATAATTATATTAATCGTCTGATCGCAGTGTATCGTCTTCCGTATAGGTATCCTGTTCCTGCCACCTATCTTGTATACAGGCCACGGTGCGGTAGACTTTCGGCTGTATACAATCATGTAGGTGCATCTACTTGTGCAGTCACGTGTTGCAGATCTGAAGCCAGAAACAGATGCCTAATGTATCGTTGTTATAATCGGCGTGCGATCCCGCAACGGCCGTCAAAAAGACGAAGTCCTAATAACATTATAATCGACAAGGAAACACGACCGATCCGTCAACTGAATATAATCATGTATGTACATATTATACTCACTAATCCCCGTGATGTCCTCGTCTTGTATAGTGTTAGGTCTTTTGTTCTGTGTGTGACCATAACGTCGTGCGCGGCAAGTTGTGTCAAAAAAAAAAAATAAAAGAAAAGATATTTATATATAATATATATACATATATTTAATAAAGTAAAAACAGACGAAGTCTAATAAGCGAAGACCATTCATTACGGTAGAGGTGAAAAAACTAGTTTTTTCCCCTCTAAATAGAAGCCTCTTAACTTGTTTTCGTCCGCTTCGATGTAGTCGACGATAAACGAGCTTCGTGGGCGATCGTTGGCATCCCTTGTGTGAATATGGTAACATGAGAAGTTCCGGACGACATGATGTAATCCGTTTTATTGTATCTCACCAGAGGGTCTTTATTATTATTACTATTATTATTAGTAGTAGTAGTATACACTTTTTTTTACATTTTTTTTTTTTTCATCGTATTATTATATTGTTATTATTACTACTATTATAGATTATAGATAAAAGAAAAAAATAACTTTACTAAACTGAACCGCAAAAATTATGCAAACAGACTGCAACCGGAAATTGTACTGACAGTGACGCAAGTCGTTGGATGTAACACATTTTCTCATACGTTTTTTAGATTTGTTGTTTTCATATACATTTGAGTTTATGAGTTAAGAGCTTATGACTTTTCAGTATACTTGTTAGTCACAACAGACTGAATGTTATAAAGTACATAATAATTTAAAGACATATACTCGATTGGTAATTGTATATTATATTTTATCATCAGTGTACTTATAATGTGTGTGATTCAAATCTTACACCAGTTTATCATAAATTATTGTTTTATTAAAAATAATTAGTACCGTCATCACATTGATGAAGCGGCAGCGTAACAACCAACGACATGCAACGCTGTGCATTTGCAATCTGCATATTCAAAATAATTCACACCCCTACAGAATTATTATTACTCTTCTTATACATCTCATTATTCTAAGTACTTATTTTTAATGAACCTTATTTTTTGCATATTATTTATTATTATAGGTACTGTATGTGGTGTGATTATAGTTGAAAAATATTAAATTTGTGTATTAGACATTAGTATGTGATTGTGTATAGTGATTAAGAAAATTGCAGTGGCTGATAGAACCGTAATATACCAATCTAAATAAAATATACGTATTCAAACAGAAGTTGTTGTGGTAAATAATTTTTAGCATAGTATTACAGTGCATCACCAGTATATTTGAGAGTGGGTAGTTTGTTGATTATTTGTTACAGGCCAAAATATACACAATTCTAATTTCTCATAAAATAACCACTTACCAATAATTGAAATTAATTTAGTTATCGGTTAACAGTTATACATATTTAAAGAAAAAATTCTACTACGTAATATAATATAATATAATTTATAACTTACTTTTACCGTAGCGCACTAAATAGGTTGAACTTTTGAAGGATTCCAACATTTCAAGACACATT